TTGCGGAGGAGCCACGTCTGCGGCCTGCTCGTACCTGAGAGAGCTGCTCTTTCTCCGTCTGGGCAACAAGCTCGGAAGTGCACGGTCTCTGTACCCGATTGCACACGCGCACACGTGCGGACCCGGATCTGATCCGTGGTTCCCCGGTGCTGGCGTCCTAACGGGAGCCAGGAGCTCGCCTGCCGGGCGCAGGGCCCCGGATTTCGGCCGGGGTGGCCAGCGTGTGTCAGGGGAGCCCCGTTCCTACACCCACCCCCCGGGTCGCCAGCCGCCGGCCGTGAAATCCGCACGCTCACACTTGTGCACTTCAACGCGAGGGGGAACGGTTTACCTCGATCCCCACAGAGGAGCCATAGTATTAAAACAGAACCTAACGTGAGGACCTTCCCCTGAATGTCACGGGAAAGTGCCGCGCCCGCCCCCGCGGGCCCCCCGAGGACCGTGCGCGCCCGGCTCCTCGGCCCTCGGCCCGTTCTCCTGGCCGGAGCGGCCTCCCCCGGCCCCGGCGCCCCTTACCTCAGAACAAAGCAGCTCCGGGAGGTCGGGAAGGGCCGGCTGGATGCGGCTATCGGGCAGATGGCCACCCTCCTCGTCTAGAGAAGATAAAATGCTAAAGGAGAAAAATCAGAGTGGGTTTTGTCCTAACCAAAGGAGGCTACAAATCCCATTGGCCTCGGGTTGGAAACCTCGTGACATGGGACCGGGCACATGTGACCTACTTTTCGCCCAACTCCCCTCATTCCGTTGGAGGGGTGCACCCGGCGCGGATGTGCTGTCATTTCAATGACTCCTTCCCCCAAACAGGGGCCAGCGCACAAACCGGCATGCCTGCAGGACATGGGCCACAGCAGCTCAGCCCTCGGAGAGGGAGACGTGGGTGGGCCCCAGCGACGGGGACGCAGCTCCTGCGGCCTGAGCTGTCACTGCTGCTGTCAGCCGTCTGCCGCGCTCGGGCCTTGCACGAAGCTGGTCCTGTTGGAGCCCTTGCGTCCTGGGATTGCGGGATGAGGTGCCTGAAGCAGCACCAGTTGCAAATTCTCTCCTTTCCCTGCTATTTATTTATTTATTTAATTTATTTATTTATTTAGGTGACCTAGAGCTGCTAGGTCCAGGCCTAGAAGCAGGCTGCACACAGAAGCTCAGAAATGCGTGAGCGCTGCGTGTCCTTGCGAGCCATCCCGATGCAGGGCTCTGGCACGGGCAGCGCGGACGGGAGGGCGGACGCAGCCCCGTGAGAGGCGGTGGGGAGTGTGCCGGCCTCCCATCCGGGCGGGCACCTCTGCCCCCGAGCAGGAGAAAGTCGCCCGCAGTCCACCTCTCACCCCCGTTAGCTCAGCATCTCACGTGAAATCAGACGCCGACAAATGATAAAAACACGTAACAGGCAGGAGTAAAAACGTGGGTGCAGGGAGGGGTCACTGGGCTGTGAGGACAGGCTCCGAACAACAAAGGTGCCGAGAAAGTGGACGCATGCGGGTTCCCCTGACCAGAGTCAGCCTGGTTATTCGTTATAGGGGAAAAATTTAAAATAGCGCAGATATTTGGAAGTTCATTACAGAAAGAAATAGAAAATGCATTTATGCAAAAAGTAACCCATAATGTCATTACTCGGAAAGACCAGCAGTGCTGGTGGGGTATCTGGAGGTCCACCCAGACTTTTGTCTAGGAAGTGTTGTGTCACTATATTTTTTAATAAAAACAGGACCAAACCACCCACATTTGTCCTATTTTTTCTCATTTGACATTACACATCAAATATTTTTCTATGTCAACATATTTAAATCTACATAGCAATTGATCAAATTCCCCATGGCATTTTTACCATTCTTATTATGCATAAAATTTGATCAATTTTTATGTAGAAAAATGGAACCAATATGTAATGCTTCTATTTCCAGGATTTTTACGTTGTTACGTGTGTTTTTAAAGGTTTTTATTTGAGAGAGGGAGAGCACACCAACAGGGAGGAGTAGCGGAGGCAGAGGGAGAAGCAGGCTCCGTGGGATTCGATCCCAGGACCCCAGGGATCGTGACCTGAGCCGAAGGCAGACGTTTCACCGACGGAGCCATCCAGGCGCCCCGAGCTGTGATATTAAAGAATGTTTCCACAATCCTCCTCCTGCCCCTCAGAACCCATATTTACAGATATTGTTCCTGGCTGGGAGGAGACAGATGCTTAAACCTCGGCCCAAAGTGACAAACTGGCTCAGCCCGTGACGCTGCCACGATGCGGGCGGCTCCCTGCGCTCCCCCCAGCCGGGGCAGCTCTGTCATCACTCACTGACTGAGCCCCGAGTCCCGGGGACGCCAGTCGCTAGTGGCCGAGCAAGCAGGAGGGCGCAGACAGCCCTGCCACGTGTCTGGCCCCGCCGGCGAATTCCCACCTTGCAGCGGGTCTCCGTGGAGGATCCGTCCTCACTCCCTGACAGATGAGGGAAGGGGCAGCACAGTGACGCAGGGCTCACTCCCGGTCCTATAGTTCGGGTCATGGAAGCCCGGGCTCTTGCCCACTGGTCCCCAAGAGTGTCCAGTGCCAGTGAGAGCCTGGGGAGGACCCGACGCTGGCCGGCGGGTCTGGCCAGGGCAGGCTCAGCCCTTGACAGGCAGGTCTGGTGCAAGGTAAGCAAGCGGCCAGCGAGGCCGGCCATCCAGGGGACGGAAGGAGAGGTGGTTGCCGGAAGCAGATATACTGCCAAGGGGCACACCTGCCTGTTTTGGGCCAGGTGGGAAGCAGAGAGAGCCCAGCTGGAAAGGAAGCGGCACAAGGAGGGACGTGAAGGACCAGAGTCACCAAAGAGAAGTGGCTGAGGGTGTGGGGGCCATGAAACGGAAGAGGGGGAGGCCCAGAGAAACCAAGGGACGAGGGCACCCCAGGTGCCAGGGGCAGCCGAGAGAAACCAGGCCAGGCGAGAAGTGAGGACGTGGCTTGGGCAGTTGCAGGGTGGAGGGCGCATCGCAAATGGAGTGGGGGGCCTGCCTGTGAGCACCACACGCCCAGGGGCTGGCCAGCTGCAGGCATTTGGGGCCTTTGGGTTCACTGGGACATGGTGGGCTCAGTGGCCAGTCACCTCCCAGATGGTGCGGGTTTCCTGTTCTCGTGGATTCCTCCCGCTGCCTCTGCAGCCACGTCCCATGCCTGAGCATCGAGCACACGAGTACCTGGCAAACGCAGCCGAGGCGGGGGGCAGGGGGCAGGCTGACGAGCGGCGCAGACCTCCCCAACCTGCATCCGTTCCGGCCGGAAAAGAGGCAGAGAGTCCCGTGTGGGCCCCTCTCGGCTCCCAGTGTCGGGGAGGGGCAGCCCGGCTCCCAGTCACGGACATTCAGCCCAGGCACCTGGACGCTGAAATGGTCTCAACTGTCCTCCGTGGGAAGAAGGAAAGAGCAAAACCGCCCAGGCCGCGGGCTGGTGGAAGTGGGTCAAGCGCCACCGGATTAAATGCTGAGCCGCAATTAACCGACCGATCGGCCCAGACAGACAACCGTGGGGGTGACAGCAGCTGGGCTGAGGACAACGTGGGGAGCAGCCGGTGCCCTTATTACTAGGCTCCCTGACGTTTAGAAGATCGTGATTCTCTGACAAGCGCCCGGGGGTACGTTAACTCAGAACCTATGCGATGTTTGCGGGTGACCGTGGACTGCTGCACTATACAGCTTCGAGATTCTCGGTGCTGCCCCCGTGTCTCCAGGTGAGGAAGGCACCCTAGAACGTGTTCTCAAGGCCTGAGCAAAGCCCGTGTAACATAAACACACACGTGAATCAATTAGAACCAGCCTGGGGACGACCGAGGCCCATGTGCCATGGAAGGAACTGGAGGCCTCAGGCTGAGGCCAGAGAAAGTCGGCTCCTGCAGGTGTAGAACCCGTAAGGCCCGGCAAAGAGAATGCGGACCTCAGGGTCCTGGAGCACACAGGGGCACAGAACACACATGCTCTTGCACTCGTGCACACACCTCGCACTCCTAGTCACATGCACACACACTGCACCCGCTCCTGCACACATGCTCCTGGGCGCACGCATGCACACATGCTGGACACACATGATCCTATAACCATGTACACAGGCACTGTGCACACGGGCACACTGCCCCCCTCCTGGACACACATGCACACACACTCTGCATGCGTGCACCTTCCCCACACATACTCCTACACGCATGCTCCTGTGTAACCATGCACACACGTGCTCCTACCCCTCTATGTGTGTGCTCCTGCCCATGCACACCCACACACATGGTGCTGCACCCTTGCACACGCGGGAAGACTGTCAGTAGGGCCAGGCTAGCATGTAGTGCTTAGCACAGGGGCCCTGCATGTGGCTGGCACTCATTTATGGGGGATCCAATAAACGAGGTGACGACAGACCCAGCTCTTCGGAGTCCCCACCCAGCATTCTTTAGAAAATGGTGGGAAGAGGGACAGAGGTGTAAAAGCAAGGAATGCTTAGGGGAAAACAGCTCTGAGGGCTCCCATCCTCCTCAAACATGCAAGGGGGAAAGCCATGGGTTAATGTGCTGTCTCAGCTTAGACCTGCTTCTCTCTCTCTTTTTTTTTTTTTTTTAATTTTTATTTATTTACGATAGTCACAGAGAGACAGAGAGAGAGAGAGAGAAGCAGAGACACAGGCAGAGGGAGAAGCAGGCTCCATGCACCGGGAGCCCGACGTGGGACTCGATCCCGGGTCTCCAGGATCGCGCCCTGGGCCAAAGGCAGCTAAACCGCTAAACCGCTGTGCCACCCAGGGATCCCTAGACCTGCTTCTCAAACTCCACCTCAACTCTGGAGTCAGCCAGGAAAGCTATTTACTCCTACACGACCACACGCGCATCCACTGCCTTTCTCTGTTAAACTTCCTGGCGCTGCTCCCCAGGGATACCATGCTGTGGGCAGAAGAGGGCCAACCGCATACTGCCTCGCTGTTCTCAGGGCTGACCCTGATCTTGTTACCCGTGTTCCAGGGAAACAGAGGAGCGAACAAAACATACTTTACAGTCACTCACCTTCCCCCATAAGCAGGCTCTAAGAGTCAGAGCAGATCCATAGACGGCAAGTGTTCACGCTTACAGTGACTTAGAGCATCATAGCTGGAACCGGTGAGTGACACGGCTGACTGTGTCCCGGGGCTCACCTACCTAAAACACAGAACACAGGGCATGTGAGTGTGCACGTTCGAGACCCTGCCCATCAGCACGGGGAGCCTCCGCAGCACGGTTTCTTGCTTCCGACACAGCAGTAGACATGTCTTCAGCACTGGACAAGTATACGGCATGTGTGGGACACGGAGACGGAACGCCGTGAGACCCTGTTCTGGGAATACTGCTCCATTTACCCCAAATGAGGCAGCTCTAGACGTGAGGAGGCTTCCATTTTATAAATGACAAGTCCAAAAGAAGCTTTTTGGTGAAACTATATCAACTTTTGAGGATGTAAATGATACAGTCAACCTTCTACTGACAGTGCTTAGTCCCGTTCTCTCCCTCTCCTCCCGCCCCACTGATTTAAGAACAGCTTTCATGAAATTACACATTAGCCCAAATGCATTGTGGTTTCCCATTCTCACAGGAAACGTAATCATGCTGTCCATCCTGCCCCTCCGGCCCCATGTCTTGGCGCACGTTCTCGTCCAGGCAGACCTGCCCCCCAGGCCGCCCACTGGTTTTCCAGAGAGTATCAGTTTTGCCCGAGTCTAAGTTTCCTGACTATTTACTTTTTAAATTCACTTTGGTTGCCCAAATTGGAAATTTAATCCCCCGTCACAAGTACCCATTTTTGAACATTATCCTCTTTGCTGCGTTATAATTCTATTCCATAAGCGTGTATTTATAGTCTCTATGAATTGTTACAGACATCTTAAAAGGCTTATTTACAACAGCATCCAACACTTGGAATTGTGAGGTCATAGCACCAAAAATAACTAGAGACCTTTATTCAATGTCTTTGCTTTTCTCCAAGTCAGTCAGGTAACCACTTTAGGCAATGAACCACAGCACTGACTGCTTTGTTCCAAGCTAAAATGTGTCGTCCATGTAATACACTGTCGTTCATAGTAGAACAAACTGGAAAACACCAAATTCAAGGAGATTTCAGGAAAGGTACTATTAAGAATCTCCATCTTGGGGATCCCTGGGTGGCTCAGCGGTTTAGCGCCTGCCTTTGGCCCAGGGCGTGATCCTGGAGACCCGGGATCGAGTCCCACATCGGGCTCCCGGTGCATGGAGCCTGCTTCTCCCTCCTCCTGTGTCTCTGCCTCTCTCTCTATCATAAATAAATAAATAAATAAATAAATAAATAAGTCTTTAAAAAAAAAAGAATCTCCAAGAATCTCCATCGTGATTGGTAGAGAGGCTAGTATCTGTTGAGTTAGGTCTTAAAGTCAGTAAGTGGGAATTCATCAGAAAGCAAAGGAAATATTTTAAACAGGGATGCCACGACAGTTCAATGGGGAAAGAATAGTTTTTGCAACACATGGTTCTGGGAAAACTAGATGACCACTTGCAAAGAACGACCCTTCAAATCGTACAAACACTAAGTCAAAGTGGACCAAAGACCTAGACTTAGGAGCTAAAAGTACAAACGCTTACAGAAAATATTGGGAAACAAATCTTTACGACACTGGATTTGGAAATGAGGATTTTATGGATACAACACCAAAAAGCACAGGCAACAACCAAAATTAAGAGCTTTTGTGCATCAAAGGGCATTAAGAAGAGAGAAAATACAATCAGCAGAATAGGAGAAAATACTTGCAAATCATGTATCTGAGAAAGGATTACTAACCAGACCATATAGAGAACTTTTGCAACTCAACAATAAAAAAAAAAATTCTTTTTCTTTTTTTTTTAAGATTTTATTTATTTATTTATTCATAGAGACACACAGAGAGAAAGGCAGAGACACAGGCAGAGGGAGAAGCAGGCTCCATGCAGGGAGCCCGACGGGGGACTCGATCCTGGGTCTCCAGGATCACACCCCGGGCTGCAGGCGGCGTCAAACCGCTGCACCACCGGGGCTGCCCCTAAAAGAAATTTTTCAATGTGCAGAGGATGTGCATATGTATTTCTCTAAGGAGGATGGACAAACAGCCAAATAAGGACATGAAAAGATGCTCAACACCATTAGTCATTAGAGCAATACAGATGAAAACCACCATGAGATACTATTTTACCCCACGTAGGACGGCAATAATAGTGATAATAGTAGCAACAATGATGATATTGATAATAGTGAGGAGGAGGAGGAGGAAAAGAAAGAAGAAAAACAGAACATTATAAATGTCAGCCAGGATATGGGGAAACTGGAGCCCTCATACACTGCTGGTGGAAATACGAAATGGTGCAGCCACTCTGTTATATAGTCTCACAGCTTGTCAAAACGTTAAACCAGTTAACATATGACCTGGCGATTCCACTCCTAAGTATCTACACATGAGAAATAAAATAAAATAAAATCACACGTTCACACAAAAACTTGCACATGAAATTCATGGCAGCCGAAGAGTGGAAACAACCCAAATGGCCATCACTTGATGGAGGGATAGACCAAATGTGGTCTAGCCACACGATGGGATATCATTTTGTCACACGAAAACGGAGTGAAGCCTTCAAAATGCAACATAGATGAACCTGGGAGACACGGATGCTGCGTGAGAGAAGCCAGACACGGAAAACCACATAACGGTACGGTCCCAAGTAGATGAGATGCTGGAAAGGCGAATCACAGAGACAGGAAGTAGACTCAAGGCTCCCAGGGTGAGGAAAGGCAAAGGGGACTAGTGATGTGACTAGTGATGTGTATGGGCTTCCTTTGGGGTGATGAAATGTCCTGTAGACAGACAGTGGTGATGACGGCACACCTTTGTGAATATACTAGAAACTGCTAAAATGTAGGCTTTAAAAGCATGGAGTTTATGGTGTGTGAATTATACTCAATTAAAAAAAAAAAAAAACCAAAGGCGGGGCATGTGGGTGGCTCAGCGGGTGAAGTGTCTGCCTTCGGCTCAGGTCATGATCTCAGGGTCCCGGGTTCGAGTCCCATGTCAGGCTCCCTGCTCAGTGGGGAGTCTGCTTCTCTCTCTGCCCCGCCCCCCCTGCCCAAGCTTTCTTGCTCTCATAAATAAGGTCTTTTTTTAAAAAACAAAAAAAGGCAATCAATACTCAAAAGTTAAAAAAAAAAAAAGTAAAGAGAGAAACCTCCCATGAAATTGCAGAATTAATGTGCATTTGCTCAGTAACACAAAATAAAAAGGCACAGACTCAGAAGTACTGAAAAGTCAGGAGGAGAGAGAACAAGCAACACAGTCCTGGCATCTGGGAAGCGTGTGACGATGTGGTAGATAATGTGGCAAAGCCTGGAAAGCTGAGACCCACACCTTTAAGGGAAGAGGCGACTGGACGCCACCAACTCACGCACACATTCCAGAGTGTCTGCAGAGGGAAGGGCCAGAGGCAGGGGAGTAAAAGCGGGTAGTAAGTAGAATTTTCCATGAGGCATCTGGCCCCAGAAATCCTCTGGCTCTTTTCTTCCAGGGACAACGGGAGGTTTCGCCTCTGCAGAGGGTGACTCATCCGGGACGCGGACTCAATGACAAGCGGTTCTGAGGACAGCTCAACGCCAAAATTAAAGCAGGAGCATTACACGGGAGACGACCAGTGGAACAGTGAGGACTCCTGCCCCCCCCCCCCCCGGGGCGATCCGAAATCTAGCAGGATTAGGATCTCAGTGAGTTGCACAAAACAGCAACAGTGGGGATGGCAGGCTCTGGTAAGAATGTCATAAAACCAGAAATCAGTGAACTTTACCCAAAGGACATTCCACTTGCAACTCCTAACGTTCTAGATGTATCTAGAGGGAGTTGGTTTACTTAATATATATGGCCCTGACACGTCACTACACTGGTAGGAAAGACAAGGAGACCAGAAATCTTTAAAGAAACGACAAATTTGCTTCGTTGTGGATGGACCTGGAGGGTGTTATGCTGAGTGAAATAAGTCAGTTGGAGGAGGACAAACATTCTATGGTCTCATTCATTTGGGGGATATAAAAAATAGTGAAAGGGAATAAAGGGGAAAGGAGAAAAAATCAGGGGAAATATCAGAGAGGGAGACAGAACATGAGAGACTCCTCACTCTGGGAAACGAACTAGGGGTGGTGGAAGGGGATGGGATGAGCACTGGGTGTTATTCTATATGTTGGCAAATTGAACTCCAATAAAAAATGAATTTTAAAAAAAATAATAAAATAAAGTGGTGTGACAGCCAGTCCCATTCTTGCAACGACCCGCTTCTTCCACCCCCAGCAGCAGCACGTCGGGGGGCCGGGGACACCCCGCGGCCTGCACTGTCCGAGGGAACGAGGGAACGACGACGCTGCCGCTGCCGCTCTCCCTTCAAAGCACGGTGGCGGTGAGGACGGGAGGGAGCCGGGGACCAGCGACAGCGAGGGACGGATCCCTCTCCTCACCTCCGCGGCCTTCCCTCGCGCGCAACCCTCTCAGCCACAACAGGAGCGACGGTGTCAACGCCTGGCTGAACGGGCCGCCACGCCACGGCGAATCAGCTTCCAAGGATGAGGCCCCAGGGACGTCACTGCCCCTTCTGGCACGGTCCAGACAAAGGAAGCCCATTCCGCTGCAAAGCACACACGTGTACGCACACACTCACACACGTGTGCGTGCGGCGTAAGCGGCTCGGGCTGTTCTCTGCGTCGGTGAGCGGCCTGGGCTCCCCCAGGGGGTTTGCGGCGTCAGACCACGGGAGGCCACGGGCTACCCCACCTGCTTCGCGGGGCTTCCTGCAGGAGCGGGGAGGAGGGAGGGAGGCCGTGGGGGGCAGCGCAGGAGCCACCCCGGGAGGGTGAGAACGGGCCTCGGGGGGCTGAGACACAAAGGGGCCAAGCGGGCGAAGACGGTAAATCCTGACACTGAACACAGTCGGCTCCGCTGTGGGCCGGGAGGGACGGGAGGGAAGTCGGGAGAAAGTTTAGGAGCCTGGGCCATAATCCAGCCCGGAGCAACGGGACCGGCCGTGGCCGTGGGCGCGGGGGCGGGACAGATGCTGCGGGGGCCCATCCCTGCGGCTCCGGTCCGGGGGGACCTCACGCCAGACCGCGTGCACGGCATGGGAGACGCCAGCAC